TGGCGTCCCCAAATTAGCTTATCAGATTGTTGGGTACTTAGAGAAAGAAATAGTGAATTTGTAAACAGAGTATTTTGGTTGATACAGAAAAGGAACTTTTCGAGAACTTGCCAACTCCAGAAGTTCATATGGCATCTCGCGTTTATAGATCGAACTATTGAATTGAGAGAAGAGAATTTTTTTTTTGGTTGAACATGGAGGGCTCTTCAATGGCCATCAATGGAGGTTTGTAGAAGATGGAAAATGGTCTATTTAATAAAGAAGAGAATTTTTTTAATTGGTATGCCACATGGCACTAAAACATTGGCTTTGGGATTAATTTTTAGTCTTTTCACATGCCTCTCGAATTTGAGATTGCACATGCTCTGAAAATGGGTTAAAAGGGTGTATTTATCATGGTTAAAAATAGTTTCGTAGGGTAATAGAACCCCGCAAACTTAAGGTGTCTACTTTTAAAAAAGGTATAAATTCGATGGGGTAATTATGTATTTTCTCTATTACAATTCAATATATATATTTTTTTAAAAAGATATACATAATCCTAGTAAAATAAAATATTGGACTCTTAAAAGATAATAGGACTAACACATTCACCTAGAATGGTAGATAAAGTAGGTTTTTTCTATCTTAATTTATTTGACTCATTTTTTTAACGAGTCTAAAAAAATGAAGTATTTCTATATTTAATACTCCCTCTGTCCCAATTTATATGACTTACTTTCCTTTTTAGTCAGTCCCAAAAAGAATGACACATTTCTATTTTAAGTAACAATTTGCCTATAAAATGTCTTTTTTACCCTTAATGAAATGATTTACAACCACACAAATTTCTATCATTCATTTTTGGACCACAAGTTTTAAAAGTCTTTCTATTTTTCTTAAAGTTTGTGCCAAATCAAAGTACATCATATAAAATGGGACGGAGGGAGTAACAGTTTAATTTTAAAATCCTCATTTTACCCTTAATGACATTATTTGTAGTCACATACATCTCAAACTTATTTTATACCACAAGTTTCAAAAATTTGTCTTTCATAAATTTTATGTCATGTCAAACTTGATTGGTTGAAGAGTTTTCTCCTAACCACTATGTCAAGAGTTCAAAGTTGGTAAATACATGTCAAACTACATATAAATTGAGGCGAAGAGATTAATAGTTTTGCAACTACGAGACGATAGAAAAAAAAGACAACAAATTTGTGGATTTGCTATGAAAACAACATTTTCAAGTACCACTACTCTTAACTTCAGTAACTTTCCTCCAACTTCATGTGACTGGTAATCACTTGGAACCAAATTTTAAAGCAAAAATGTGCATTTGATCATATTTACACATTACAAGACCTTAGTGAAAAAGGCCAAGAGAGAATGATGGCTTATTTGGGATGGGAAAACTTTTGCTGTGATTGAAGCAAAGTTGCATAAAGTAGCTGATTCCAAGAATCTGGTACACCAGGAAGGCACCAATGGCTGCAGTCTTGAAACATCCCTGGCCTCCTCTTTGATTTTGCCTCTCTGAAAATTGAAGGGTGTCCTTCTTTTCTATAGTCTGTCATCTTTGTAATGTTGAGATAAACAACTGGTGTTTTCATTTCTGATATTACTGATTCAAGAACTCTCATCATCCATGGATATGGACCTAATTGAGTCTCGTTTATTATCGGTTTCGTCTCCCCATCACAGTTTCCTCCTGAGTTCCATTGACCACCTCTGCCAAAAAGGGAACTATCCCTCATTAGACTATCAAACAACAACATAACATCCCACAAAATGGGGTCTGGAGAGAACTACCTCGTGAAGGTAGAGAGACTGTTTCTAAAAGACCCTCAAGTACATCAAATCCAAGTAAAAGAATAAGAAAATAATGAAGAAAGCATAGCGGTTAAAAAGAGTCATTAGACTATCGAAAAAAGAGAAGTTTTACTTGAAATGAGAAGCTGAGTATCCCCTAAAAAACACCCTAGTTCTGGTGCTGTTGATAGTTGTATCAACCCAATTTGCCCATGTCTTCAATGCCTTAGTATATGCATCTGCCACTTCCAATCTGTTATACACATGATTCCCTTCTTGAAAGTAATTATTCCTAAACAGAGAAATTAATAAAAATCATTTCTTGAAAGAAAAAAAGAAAGAACAAAATCAGCAAACACAAGATTGATATAGTCTTTACACTTTCTGAGTTTTCTGGTGAGTCCACCAATGACCAGTATTGAAGATGATAATGTCAGCATCATGGTACTTAGTAAGAGAGCCATGGATTGTATCGAGTCGTAGAGTTTCACGACGTGCTCCAGCTTTATCCGAAAACCTCCATTCTTGAACTAGGAATGGGGATTTTATGAAGTCAATTGAACATTTGAAATCCTACACATAACAAAACAAATATCATTCAAGAAACTTGAAATCATTAATTACTAGTAGTATAAATAGTTCATTGAACCTTAAATTTGAAGGAATAAAATCCTTGACTTCTGAACTGACGATGGCCCGAAACTTCATTCACTCTGTTCTTGTCAATGAGTGAGTTTCTCAAAGCACAAACCAGAGATTCCCACATGTTTCTGTTCAATGAATCTCCAACAAAAACCAGTCTTTTCCCCTTTAACATCTTCAGCATTTTCAACCCATCAAACCTGTTAAAAAAGAGATGAATTCAACAAGAAGATGCATTTGTGAGAAAAAACAGGGGATTATAAATCAAGAATTGAACCTTGGGATTTCACAACCATGTGGCTTCCATTTAAGCCTGAGATACTCTGTATCACGACGTCCATTCTTGAAACAGTTGAAAGAATTGTCGATAAACGGACAAGAACCCGGTTTATAAAGCGGATGAAGATCATTGTCCTGTATCCATTCACCATCAAAAATGTCACAAGATTTGTCTTCTTCTTGAATAGTAACATCAAAATTCCATGATTTTGTTGGGAAGTTTGTGGGTGCTGGAACTGTACTGCTAGTTGTGTGAGTATCAGATACTGGTACGAAGTCAAATTCATGAATGGAAGAAAATGAGTGGGAGTGAAGACGAGAAGCAAGAATCTTGGTGGTGACGGCGGAGGGAGAGGAGAAGAAAATGATGAAGATGAGGAGAGTTAAGGTGAAGAAGAAGAGAGTGAAGAAAACAGAAACTTGGGTTCTTGATTTTGAGAGGAAGATTGTAACATTTCTTGAGAAGATGCAGAGTTCCTTCAAAGAAGCCATTGATGGAATAGAATGCAGAGTTTCGTCAACAGGAAATTGATGAGTTTTTAACTATTATATATATATATATAGAGAGAGAGAGAGAGAGAATGGATGAGCCCCTTTCAGTTTAGTTTATGGGGACTTTCATGTATCAAGGAGAGACAGATTTTGTTGCCAATTCTTTTGAATCAAAGTAGGTTGCAACTGTTGTATTTTAATCGCGGTAACTGATCTCCTGTTATATTCCGTTGTTTCTTTCATCAATCACAATTAATCTTAATATCTTTGGGAACCCTTCCCTTTCTTCAGAATATAGTTAGTGCAAGTTCTAGACATTAAAAGATAACTCGCAAATCGCAATTAAGAAAAACTTAGTTATCAATTAAGGAAAAAACTTACTAGATATCATTCAAGAAAGAAAGTAGAGTTGTATCTTTCAAGAGTTTTGGATGCATATCTACAAGACTACAACAATTCATATGGAACAAGAATTTCCAATAAATAGATGTAGCTTACAACATTCTCATCCAGATCAATATCTAATAATGAACTTTTGTTTACTAATACTACATGATCAACACACTAGTCAAATTAAACACCAAAAACTAGAGCGTTGCGTGTAAATCAGAAGCTAGTTTTTCCAGCAATATCTGAACGTTGCTTCAAAGGAAGAAAATAAGGGCCAAAGTCATCAGAACAAAGCTATGCAGCATGGACGACTTTGAAGCACGAAAAGCAGTGTTATCATAAGCTAGGATGTGCTCAGCAACATTGAAAAGACCTGTCGACATATTTCAGAATGAGTTCAACTTCGATAAAGAGATAACAAGGTTCAAACACGTTGAATAGTATATAAATTAAACATTTGTTTCTTTAAAAAAATACTCCCAGCTCGAAACAAATTAATCATATCCAATATTATTTTCAACAGAACATACTGGACACTTTTGTATAGTAAAGTGGAGAAAGTTTGACCTCTTTCAGGGCCATAGCTACATCCCTCCTTGATAGTCTCTTCGACTGCTCTAACGGTGGCCTTATTATAAAATCTGAAGTGCGAGAGTATGCTTCCAAGACAATTAAGCACATGGTGAGTCTCCTCTAAGCAGGGTCCTCTGCAGTATTGATCGGTATATTCAGGTGGTACATGGAGCTCCCCTGTCTCAGTCAATCTATAAGACTCCTCACAACTACTGTATATCTGCAGCTTCAATATTAGAACTAAGTTACTCATCCATTATTGCATTTCAAATTATCCAAAATCATGTCGGCAAAATAGACCAAACATAAAGTGAGAACATGGACTTACATGCTTATCAGTGAAACATTGCAATGCTTTAGAGAAAAGATAGTCAGGTTGAGCATCAATTGTGCCACCACCATATTGATGTGAATCTCCGTAGTTGGGCAAATATTCATTTCCAAGTACTCCTGCAGCGGCGGTTTGACCCTCATAATCATCTGCTTTACCTATCAAACAACAATTTACATTACTGTCATATATATGAAAATAAATCAGCAATATAACGGAGCAAGAAGAAAAGGGGTTGATTTCTCATATGGTCGATCACTCAACTAATTAATAGTTATTATTGTCTTAGAAAGTCATCTTTATTCTCGATTCCAATTTTCTTCAACAAAGAAAGTTAGTTTTTGAGATAATAGCACTATTATCTCAAAAGTAGAAATTAACTGGAAGAAAAGTAGAAAGCATATATATGTCACCTAGTGTGAAAGGGAAAAACAAGAAACAGGTCAGGGTTAAAGCTTGAAGAGAATGCTTCATGTTGCGTAATGTTCTACCTGCAGGATGATTGCAGATATATATATATATATATTAGAAGTTTACAATTATGGTATGGAATGTTAATGAAGCTTATAGTTGAAGAATCTACAATAGTCAAGTAAAACAAAGATAAATTCCATGGGGAAAAGTAAAAGCAATGGGTGATCTGCTCGATGGAAAGTTAAAATATTGGATGGTCTAAAAAGGTGAGTGACTAATTAAGTTGAACTAACTAGACTTTACTTGCTTGACGTATTTTGCATTGAAAATCAAACCTAAAAAGATCCATCCTTGCCCCACAAGTTACCCTTTATACTACTTAGTACTGCATCTGAAGCCAGGATGTTGATGTAACACTGATAGAAAACGAATTTCAAAATCAGGCTTACTAAGGGCAAAACACTTCCTACCAAATGTTTCTTTTATTCCTATATCTGAATCCGAGATGTTTAGTTAATAAAGAAGGATCACACACTCTCTTCAAAGGTAAAACCTCAAGGGAGGGTTACATGGAAGGATAGAATAACTTATAATTTTAGGTGAGAAGAAGCAACACAACACCTAACCTCAGAGAACTAAACTAGATATGGTAGCTTTGGTGGGTAAGAATAAGTGATAGTATGAATACCAAATTTTGTTACTTAGATAAGCATATCAACAATTCATCTTTAAGTGTTCACATTAGTGAAATATTATATGTGACAGAACAAACTGATTTTGCTAATACATATAACAAATTTCCAAGAGGAAACATGCTATGGTTTCTCATAGAAATACATTGATACAGGGGATTGTGTCTTGATGATTTCTTAGCCAGGAGGACTTGTGGAAATATAGGAAGAACCTAACGAAATATGGCAAAGACCAATCTCAGCTTCCAAAGAAAATGTTAAAAGGGACAGCATCACTTCTTCGTAATCCTTCCTTTTACTAATCTGCTCGGCTAAGTACTCGGTATTGATTGAACTTGTCATTACACATTTCTCCTTTTAACCCCAAACGAATAACCATCCTAACCTCAAAAGGCCAACTTAGAACAGAACATCGATACTTTTTTTTAATCATACATGCTGAGATAAAAGTTCTCAACAATCAAATATCTCCATATCCTCCTACATTACGAGGGGCTTAAGGCACATGTCAGGAGCCTATACTGCTTGTTGACTTATGTTTGGCCTTCTTTACATGGCTGACGGAATTAGTAGAGACAAAACTTCATCAAAGCTGCATGAACACAAACTGAAATCAGTCATGACTACTGTCAATTCCACCTAGACAAGAATAAAGATGAAAAGGAAGAAAAAACTCTTCATCGTGTAAGAAGTCAGAGAAAAACCTTTTTATAAACTAACACCCAGGTTTAATGCATGAGAGACCTAAACAAGGAGCTCCATCTTCATATTCACGGTGAATTATCTATAACAGGTAGAAAAATCTGTTTGGACTTTGTCATTGATAAGACCACGCCAGTAACTTCCTTCTTTTTCCTTTAGTCAGGTCCTTGAAATGAAAATCAGATTTCTTAAGATCAAGAGAGGTGTTTAATACAAAGCACCAACATATTTTTTCCCCATCTCACGGAAAAACAAGTAATATAACAATTCTTTTAGATCAGAACATAGCTGGCCATGATGCTTGCTTTCTCAGCCCATTCCCATCCTGTAAAAAACATAAGTAAAAGCGAAAATAACTAAAAGTTAAAAGTCTTCATCCTCATTTTAGGGGAAAATTGAGTTGAAATGTCAAATATTACCACAATCTCAATCCACATAGATGTAGAACAGCAACATTTCACAGAGGAGATATATAATTTGGAACTTTGTGCCATCCAATACAAGCAAATTAAAAAGTAAACCAGCTAAAACAATATCAATCGATCCAAGCAGATATAAAATATCAAGATTTCTACAGAAGAGATAAAGATAAACTTGCTATTTCTCCAGGGCAGGTCAATCTAACACTGCTTCTCCTTGGAAAAGCACAGTCGATCCTCATACAAAAAAAATACTACTACTACACCAGAGGCGCAGACACATAAATGCACAAGTGAAAATTCTAACCCCCAAACACTTCTCTGACAGGAGTCCTAAAAACAAGAAAAATATAATACGAACACACTTATACTAGGAGTACCTAAAGTAATGCCTAGTGGCGGAGTATTCTATTAACTTTCAACTGCTAAAAGATTGGAATTCCTTTGAACCTAAAGACTTGAGAGGTAGAGCAGAAATCTACTAAAAGTAAAGGGTGTGCATCATAGCCATGAGATTTGGAGTGCCTGTCAGCCTGTGTAACATCTCTTTTATAGTGTACCTAACATTTAGGATAGCTAGGCAACACCACCTCAGTCTTATCGTATAAAGTTGTTCAACAAGAGTTATCCAAGTGTTAACTACTGCAGGGAATCACACTTCAGATATCTGCATCACGTATCTATCAATTCTGCAAGATCATTATCACTACAAAATCTCCAAGTATTCGAATGTTTGATATGGACAACGTTGTCCTATTGGAACAGCCAACATCCTATTCTTCAAACTTGTACCTCCTTTTATATTCAAAATTATATTATTGATACAACACAAAGAAAATGCGTATATACAAACATTATAAATTTCTATTGTTTTTGATAACGGTAGTGTTAGAATCAGTCGCATCTCAACTAATTGACTTGTTACCTGCTACTTTCCATCATTATAAGTAATTAGGTAACTCTGGCAACCAAAACTTGGACTAATAGGAAGAAATCACTTGACGTTTTCTGTATCAGCTGGAATTTGAGTCATGATCTCCCATAGTCTGTTCCAGCTTCATTAATCGCTAGGTAACACCCTTGGTTGCTATACAAACATTATATACCATGTAGACCATAATTAAAACTCAAATTGAAGCCAACTATCTATGCAAACTGGAGTATCCTTGTTGTACCAAAAATACAAATTAGATGCAAAAGGAACTTAAATGGTAATCTATGGGTTTATAATCCTTCAAACAATTCTACTAAACTTTTCTTTCCAAATAGTATAGAAAAGCAGGGTGTTTTTTTTCCGGCCTCCATCTTGTCCTCCAATAAGTCATTGCCTCTGCCGCCATTCTAGGGGTAACCAACGAAATATTAAACAAAATGAATCGCAAACAACACTCTAATTCAAAGCTAGAAGGACTCTAATAGTAGGTAAAATTGACAGAAACTCCTGCTTTTTCCAGAAAGATCATAAACACAGACTAGCAGCAAGATGTCAACTGAATGATTAAAGCATCAGTTGTTTGAACATAGGCTCAATCAGAATATGAAAGGTCCTAGCTATGCTATCGTCCAATACAAAATCCAGACAGCTGAAGTATACCCCGGTGCTCTTCTTACTTCATCCATTTAAGCTCAGGTAGGAACACGTGTATCAAGGGAATCCGATTCTATAACTTCTTACTAGTAGTACAGCCACATTAAAAAAAATCATGCGGTTTTTTTTAACATTTCGATTCATCCTCACATTTTGAGAAGGAAGACAGAACAATATCATTGAAGACTTTCCAGAATATTGAGAGAAAATAAGTATATACATCATTTTTGTTTTATATATATTTTTTGGCCCGTATGGAAAAAATTATTGTATCTACAATTGATTGGATTGCTTATTCGCCAACTGTGTTGTTCGGTCACCCATTCACTTGTACATTTTTCTCAAAAATGTTGGAATGTTGGTGACACCCAATTTCAGCCCTCCACAATGTAGATTAATCATCGAGCTTCTTTAACTTATAAAACGATTGGAAATAATTAGTTTTATAAAATTCGAAATATTTTTCCAGTTATTTTGTCCTATTTAAATTATATATATATTAAAATGTTTTATTTATTTCTTTTTTATGACAAGGGAAACCGCAGCCGCTACCCTTTGGATGCGCACAAGGTAAAATGTTTTGTTAATTTTATTAACATGTTTTTTTAAAATGTTTTGTTAATCAATCAGTAGATCATTTTTCGAGTTAATTAATTTATAATTAAGTTAATTAATATTATGAAGATTGTTAATTAATTAGTCTTATTCAATTTCTAGCCGAATTTGCTCAATTTGACTACTTCCTAACTCCAAGTGCAATCCATTTGGCCATTTCCTAATTGCAATTCTAGCCACTTTGACTCCACCTCTAACCATATTTTAAACCCCATCAGAGTCGTCATTTTTGTTGAACTTGATCCAAAGAATAGCGGTTAGGAACGATCTCTCCACATTGTAAGCAAACCTCTCGATGAAGTCCTTAGCCAATGCATTCCAACTAGATCATTGCTTCATTTCTTGGGAGGTAAACCATTCCAAGGCCTCTCCACTTAAGCTTCGGCTAAAGAGCCGCATTAAAAAAGTCTCATTTTTCCCAGCTCCCACAAGTTGATCACAATATGCTCTCAAATGAGCCAAGGGATTTCAGGTTCCTACAAAAGTGTCAAATTTAGGTACTTTGAACCATCCCGAAAGGTCCAAATTTGAAGGGATACACATATCTTAATAGTTTAGTCCTGCAACATTGGGAATATAATCATCATCTCTTCCTTTATACTCTGCTTGGTCATTTTTTCTTTGGCCCTCCACTCTTTTTCCTGCTCCTTTTAGTGATTGAGTTCTAGATAGGTAGTGTAGGGAAGATGTGGTTCTGTGTAGACTGGAATATGGAAAGTGGCTTTTGGGGGTAGTGACTGAGTGGAAAACTTCCTCGGCGTGGTGTGAAGACGACAAGGTCTTCCTCTATCATGGACATCTGGACATGACATTGAGTTATGTCGTATTTTCAGAGTTGACTTGGAACATCTCATCAACATAGGGAAAGATTGAGGTTGAATCCCCACAACATTATCCATTAAGAGCAAAAGATCAAGTAAACAAGAACAAGAAGCCTCAGGAGTGGCGTAGTTTAATTTATGAAGTTCGTTGTTATTTCCTTTTCATATTAATGGATCTATGAATGAATAAAGTTTCAAAAAAATTACTACTGTTCAAATTGAACTACGGAGGACCTGATTTCTCATTCATGAGATATGTAGGCAGCCTTCAATGCCCGACCCCTATCTTTTAAAAGCTTACTTCTCCCCCTTCATTTTACAAGGAAATAGTAAGTTCACATCAACAGTTGCCGAGAGTACAACCGTGAAAGATGCAAGAAGACTTTAGCTCAATGCAAGTCAACATTCCTGATTCACTAGCCCCAAAATCAAATAAACAAATTCCTGCCAATTTAAATCATCTCCCAATACTCGTGGATTAACTTGTCCTCAAACAAAGAAACTCGTGTGTTTATTTTCTCTCTATGTGATATTTTGCATTATATGTTATAAACATAGACTAACAGATTTGTCTGAGTTGTTTTTCCTTGTCAGGTATTTAGAATTGATTTGTGTTGATAAACTGGTCGAGCATCCATACTTCACGCAATCTAAAGCTCCAAAAGGTTCCTTCCCCAACCGAAATTTGTTCAAAGAAAAATGACGGATAACAGTAAGAGTATCGGCTTGACTGAAATTGATGTAATGGATCCCATCGTTGTTGAATAAAATGAGTTGATTGCACAGTTGATGAAACAAATCGTTGAGATGTCAAATCTGGCTATTGTTGCCAACACTCCAAGTGATGGAAGGCCTCCACTCCATTTCCTCCTCCAAATCCAACTCCTGAACATGTCCCAAATGGCCCACCCACTATTCCTGTTCAAAAGCCCCCCACCATCGACTTAACCACCCCTAACCCATATCATGCTAGCTCTTTATACCAAGCACCACATCTTCCCTACACAGCTACACTACCTATCCCGAACGCGATCACTAAGAGGAGCAGAAAAAGGAGTGAAGGGCCAAAGAAGAAACGACCAAGCAGAGTATAAAGGAAGAGATTATGAAAGCGATGAAAAAGTTCCATTATATTCCAGATGTTGCTGGACTGAACTATGAAGATCTGTGTATCCACCCAAATTTGGAACTTCCGAAAAGGTTCAAAGTACCGAAATTTGACACTTTTGGAGTAGCCTTTGGCTCATCTGAAAGCGTATTGTGATCAACTTGTGGGAGCTGGTAAGAATGAGGCTTTGTTAATGGGACTCTTTAGCCGAATCTTAAACGGAGAAACCTTGGAATTGTTTGCCTCCCAAGAAATGAAGCAATGGTCTAGCTGGAATGCATTGGCTAAGGACTTCATCGAGAAGTTTGCTTACAATGTGGAGATTGTTCCTGATCGCTATTCTTTGAGAAAGTTAAACAATATTTAGTTGATGAAATTCTTTGATAAATCAAACTGAAAAAAAATACAATGTTGAATGAAGTAGTCAGCATCCCCTCCATCTTTGTTAAACATACATTACCAACTCACTGTAACTCTAGGCCTCCTTCTTAAATTGTAGGCTGTTAAGATGGAACCTGATGCTGCACTCCATGTGCAGAGGCAGCATTCTAAGGTGTCTTGGGCTTCCATGACTGTGACCACATCGTAATTGACCCATGCCCATTAAGTAAAGTAGGATATGTCAGTGACCAAGCATGACATAGCACTCTCCGAGGGCATGGAATGTCTAATATTTTGATTAGAATATCAACCATAATTTCTCTTTACATACTCAAGTCGAAATAAAGGAACGGTCAATTCAATTCTCGATGGAATCGTGCAAAATTATCCCACAAACTGGAATATTATTTTGAGATCTTCGAACATATTCGAGGGTTCAATGTATAGTAACATTGGCCACTACAATATGACGTCACTGAAAAGCATCTTCTGGATGAGTTCCATATTCACTTTTCAAACACACCAATGTGTTCAGTGAAACTTCTACTTCATTCCATCCCCCCAAAACTGTAAGGGGTCGTTTGGTAGAGTGTATTAGCAAAATTAATGCATACATTAGCTTTATGTATTAGAAGTACCTTGTTTGGTGCACTTTTTCATGCTATGTATAACTAATACTTGCATTAGTTATACACTCTATTGTGTATTGGGGAGTGTATTACTAATATCATGGATTTCTAGGTATTACTAATGCAAAGGGATTTAATGCATGCATTAGCATTTTTTTTTTATTTTTTTTTATTTTTTTGATAACCGAGAAATCCATCTGTGACCCGCCCTTTGGACCAATCACAGCCTTCTAAACTCGGTGGATAATGGGCCCGCTCCTCTACCCTTCTCCACTTAAATACCGGGCTTCGCTTTGCATGGTGTGGGGCTTGAACCTGCGACCTAAGCCACAAATCCTCCACCTTTTGCCACTTGAGCTAGGCCTTGGGGGCTGCATGCATTAGCATTTTAAAGACACAATTACCCCTCAAAATCCCTTTTACATCCTTTTCACCATAATTGTGGAGGATATTTTTGTAAATAAATATTTTTGTACAATGCATGCTATTTTTAATACACCAAACCAAACAATGCTTAAGAAATAATCTATGTATAACTAATGCAAGCATAACTAATACAAGCATTACTAATGCAAGCATTGCTAATACACTCTATAAAGCATTATTTTTATACACACTACCAAACGACCCCTAAGGGTTTTGTTAAAGAAAAGTCACATGATTACAACAAATTTAGGTATAGTATAGGTGTCTTTTAGCCATATTTTCCTCAACATAAATTAAAAGGGCAAATCAAACAATTACAGTGAACTATGAGGGTTGCTTAGTATAATAGATCACAGCTAATTCATAACGTGGAAACAAAACATTTAGGGTTTTCCTTCGATTAACATTACATTAAGAATTGCTGCTTACTATAATAGATCACAGCTAATTCATAACTTGGAGAAAAACATATGTCCTAATAGAATACACAGTTATAATCTATTGAAAAGTCTAGTATTTTATTTAGTCAATTAAATAGGAACACTTATGAACAAATGATATACACAAAAGGCGACATCTGAGGCATCACCAGTCCATAGAGCAGCACCTTTACTTTTTAAACTTATCCATTCCCACTTTCCAGTGTATTAGACTAGTAATTTATTACAACCAAATCCCACTTTTTCCTCTGCCTGGAAGTACGCATCTTTGTCCTTGCCTACATAGCATCGTTTACCATTTGGGATTCATAATTGCAACTATAGTGACCAGAGGAGCAAGATGGGAAAAGGTAACTTTTATTAGCTATAAGATTTTTCTTTGTCATGCATCAACAGGGAAAGCATAAAGCTAAATAGCAACTTAGAGATCAAAATGAAACAGACATTCATAAACAAAATAAAATGCATAGGGAAACAAAAGAAGAAGAAAACAAGTAGAAAATCAAAGAGAAGAGATCATAGCAGCATACCTACAGAAACTTATCAAGAAAGCAGTCATACCTATAGTACATTTGATCAGCCTGATGGGTCAATAGCAAGGGTACATTCATGATTGGCTAACAAGCAGTAGCTTGTGAGCATTAAGTGATCATCACTCCTAAATCAAAGATACTACGAAGGAGTGATGGGTTCCAATAGCATTCCCCTTTTCCCGCACTCCTTTAAAACATCCTGAGCTTCTTTAGTATGGCCTGATTGAATAAGTGAATCAAGATATAGTTTACATGTCAAATCATCGGGGACGCATCCATTTGCTTCCATTGAAAAAAACAAGTTCTTAGCTTCATCAAATCTCCCCAAGTTACATAAGGCTCTGATAAAAGCACCATAAGTATGATTATCAGGGATCAAATCCAGGGTCAACATACTTATCAGAAGCCTTTGAGCCTCATCAATCTTATTCATCTTACAAAAACTTTGAATTAAGGCATTGAAGGAGAAAACATCTGCCTTTATTCCATCACCTTGCATTTTTCGTAATAATTTCAGTGATCTACCAACATCCCCGAGGACACAAAGTGCACGAATTAAGATATTGTATGGTACGGCGTTTGGAGCAACTCCCCATTCGACCATCTCTGTGAGACAGTCTAAAGCATCGTCAATGCGATTTACTCTACAAAGGCTATCAATCATTGAACTAAACGTGAAAATGTCTGGTCGAAAACCATGTTCCAGTAGTATGACTAGTAGCTCATGTACCTTGTTAACCTCCCCTACCTTGGAATATCCACTAATAAGAGTGTTAAAAGTTACAATATTGGGAGTGACACCTCTCTGAAGCATATCTTTGAAAGCATCTGATGCTTTGTCCATCATTTTGATTTTGCAAAAGCAATCAATGACCCGGTTATAGAAGAATGTGTTAGATACAAGACCATCCTTAAACACCTGGTCCATATATTTGTTCCCCTGTTCAACTCTCCCTCCTTTATAAAGAGCATCAGCAAGTGCAAGATAAATATCAACACTAACCTTCACCCCTCGAACAGTGATGAAGTCTAATATCTGACAAGTATCATCAAGCTCCAATCCTTTGATTAAACAAGTCAGTGCAATGTTAAGAGTTGAGTTATCCAGTAAGTAACCTCTATCAATTGATATTCTTAAAAGTTGAGCTGCTTCTCTGGGCAAAAAATTAGTACTAAGGCAGTGTAGCATGGAAGAACAAGCTACATTAGGCAAGACATGTTCTTTCTCTAACCATCTAGATAACAATTCAAAGCCCTTATCTGGTGCCACACAGTGAAATACCCCATTAACCAATGATCTTACAGTAGCTTCATTTGGTACAATACCCCTACTCTTCATTACCCCGAAGAGCTCAAATGCCTCGTCCACCCTTTTAGCATTACAAAACCCCTCAACCAAAATTGTGTAAGTAAACACATTGGGAGAGTATCCCACTCCTTCCATCTGTTTCACCAGACGAAGCGCCTCCTCCACAACCCCAGCCTTACAAACTCCATGAATGAGAATATTATATGTAAACTTATCTGGTTTACAGTTATCTACCTGCATTTGCTGAAACTTTAAATAGGCTAAGTCAAGTGAATTGCACTTGATCAACGCATCGATTACCGCATTATACAACCTAGTATTAGGAGCGAGCCCCAAATAAGAAACCTGCTCTAAAATGTCAGTACAGTACTTCCCCAACCCTAATCTCCCCCAACTACCAATTAGAACACAAAGCAAGTCCACAGTAACTACATTTCCAGAGTTTCTGATATCTTGAACAAGCTCAGCTGACAACAAAAGGGGACCTTTCCTATAAAGTACATTACTTAAAACCACCTTAACTGATTGATTCTTCGCAAAAGAGGGACAAATCTTCAAAACCCAGATATAAAATCTAAAGGGGTGTAATGGGTTTTCTTGATTTTGCAAAATACTAACAACTTCTTGCTGATTCAAAGTAACCCTCTTGGCTTTATACTCGTGGTTTAGCAATAAATACCAGTCTTTTCTTGCAAGAATTTGGGAAAAATACTTATGATCAATAACACTTGCTCGAAAGTTTACCTTTTTAGCTGCTATGGAAGTGTTGGAATTCCAATTGAATGAAGGCTTCGGCTTACTGGGTGAACTTTGTTGAGTAATGGGGTTGCTAGTGGTGGCAACAGAATGAAGATTTGAGGGTTTTGGAGTAATGGGTGTGAGGGAATTTTGGTTTTGTTTAGAGAGATTGGTGAAAGCAGGTGAAGAAGCCCTTGAAGCTACAGAGGAAAACCCTCTCATACTCTTTCACTCCCCTTTGAAGCTGTCCTTCTGAAGTCGGCTGTACTTCATGCTCTTGCCAACATGTTCATGGTTTAGGTAAAATCAATTTAAACGGAAAAATTATATTATATTATATTAAATAAATTTAAAATTTTTATTTTGGTTGTTGTGAGTTGATTTTATATTTTTTAAAATGGATAATAATTAATTTTTAATTTTATTTTATTCAAAAATAACAAAGAAATAATTGAATCAATAAATTTTTTTTATATATATATATATTATAATTATATATAATATATTATTTTTATGAACAACTTTTTTTTAATGAAAAAATGCAACATCCTAACGAAAAAGAATAATGTATGATGCGATTTTTATGTGTGCAATAATATTAAAAGTTTATGTATTATTCAATAAATTTATGTTTTTTACTATATTGAATTAACTAAAAATGGTTGTTTGGTAGCTGGATAGAGTTATACATGTATTAGTAATGTGGGTATTAGTTATGCAGGTATTAGTAATTAGGGGCCGTTTGGTTACTGGTTAAAGTTATGCATGTATTAGTTATACAGGGTTTAGTTATGCAGGGTTTAGTTATG